CTTATCCAAGACGCGTCTTACATAAGAATTTTGTACCTTTTATACGACAAACTCGCGTCTTATTTAAGTCGCGTCTTATTTTGTTCCGTATAAATGGCTCTATTGTGAGAATATTACGTGTGTAGACACGTACACTGGGCCACCACGTTAAATGTTTTATTTCTTTCAGATATCCATTTGGTATAACCTCGTTTGGTCAGTTTTTAATCTGGACAGACTGGGATGCTCGCACAATTCAACAATACGATAGACAGAGTTTCATACTTCAGCCTGCCATTAGGAGTTTTCGCGGCAGTTCGGGCGCATTTTACGAGATTAAAGTCGTTCAAAAACCTAAAGATATAGGTATGACTAAACTTTGTTTTCTTGTCAACGTTTCCCAAAGGTGGTCAAACCAAAAAACATTGTCCCCTAGCCAGGTTTCTCGAAGACTGGCAAACCAGGAACACGTGAGTTTTCTGGGGCCGGTTCACTATTTTGTAGTTAAATAGTGATTAACTCTTAAATACGCGCTTCTTATTGGATGACGTTTCCACTAACTATAGTTAACTTTAATCACTTTTTTACAGGGGTGGATTTATAGGGGGGGTGCACACCCCCTGTTGGCCTTGATCAACAGGGGTGCAAAGGTGGGTGCAAAAAAATCAAATTCAGAAATATGGCACAATTTCCAAGGTTTTTCCTTTTTTGAAGTCAAACTGAAGCTCATAATTCAATGCCCATATTGCAGGAAATAGCATTTCTGGGGTTCTAATTTCAAAATTTTCCGAGGGGCATACCCCTGGACCCCCTAGGGAGCTTGCGCCTTCCGCGCTCAAGTCGTTAGGAAGCCAGTTCATTTGAATGATCTTCCACCACCCCCTAAAGAATTATAAAGAAACACTCGGCTGCTCACCCAGCTCCCCCCTAGAAAAACCTTGCTGGATCCACCCTTGCTTTTTTATACAACCGGCCCCTGACCATGTTTCCCGAAGGTGGACAAACCAGGAAACGAGGAACGATGAAATTGCTAAGTAATATTTCATTTGCTAATATTTAATTTGAAAAACAAACAAATCGTTTTATTTCAGACTCTCACGAATGCAGCAAGAATAACGGAGGATGTTCAAGCTTATGTTTACCCAAGCCAGGTGGGCGTACGTGCGCATGCGCGAATGGTTACTATCTGGTAAGCAAAGAAGATACCTTGAGATTGAGGGGCCTAGGTTCTGGTTTGGGATCAGGATCAGGGATAGGATCAGTGATAGGATCAGGTTTGAATGTGACGATGTCTGGTTCAGGACAAGGGGGCTCTGGGTCTGGTGGATCAGGCATTAAACCTAAGTCAGGGCCCACCCTGACCCTGATTTCATCTTCGAATAACAATATTACTTCGGGCGAGGCGATTTGTGTTGATGAGGAAACTTATAAATATTTAGACAATCTTTCGTAGCATGCAGACTGACATTGCACAAGATGGATAATACACAGGATGAGATAGGGATATTAACATAAACATATATGTGCGAGGGTAAATCATACAGGTTATGCGATTGCAACTCAAGACTGCTTTCCAGTTAAAAAGGCAGGATGATTTTGATGTGTTGAAATAAATCGCTAGGCTTAAACGAAAGTTCAAGCGCCATGTAAAAGAACTCAAATGTTGAGAAGATCTCGTAGTTCAGGAAGATTATTATTGCTGCTTGAGCAACCTTCGCTTCACAATTATACCATAATCTATCACTAGAAAAGTAATATAGTTTTGCTGAATCGCGCACCGTGACTTATTTCAATACATCAAAATTATCACGCCTCACATCTCGTCCCGGCAAAGCGGGATCATGTAAACAGCCTGTAATAATGCCTCAACAAATACACTTTGAATCATACACAAAACTACCAGCTATAGACTAAATTTTGATTTAGGTAAGAAGAAAAAATCCATCACCACAGCTAGAAAGAGCATGTTAAAATTAGTAAAATTACAAAGTTTGGCCGCGAAATGTTGTAAAATGAGTAACATATAGCCCTATACGAAATTTGCAAATTTTGTATTAATTTGTATTGGGAATTTGCACCATTAATTATTTAATACAAAATTTGTAAATTTCGCAGGGCTATATTTTCCACATTTTACAACATTTCGCGGCCAAGCTTTCCAATTTTACTAATTTTAACATGCTCTTTCTAGCTGTGGTGATCGATTTTGTTCTTCTTGCTTAGATCAAAATTTAGTCTATAGTTGGAATTGCCCATTGATGTCTTCTTATTTGTTCAGTTATTTTCATGTATGAAAAGTACTCAACTGGAAAGCAGCTTTTTAGGATTTGTTCGTTTAAAACTAGCAAACATTGCGAGGACACTGTTTCGTTTCCCGAAGATGGACAAACCATGAAACATTTCAGACCATAAAATATGTGTCTGAAATCTTTGGGGAAATTTTTCGCGTCCTGGCAAGTAATGTTGTTCTCCAACAATGTTTGAAGACCAAGGGCAAGGGGAGAAAACGAGCAAACGTTTTCAAATGTTTTTGCACGGATATTTCCTAGTCGCCTAGGGCTGTAAACAGGGGCGTAGCGAGCCCCAAACGAGTGAGGGAGGTCCATAGAACTATAAAGTAAACTGGAAGGCTAAAGTAAACTGGAAGGTTTACTTATAGTTCAATGGGGGGGGGGTCTAATTGCGCGCGGGAAATTCCTGGTCCCCCGGGAAATGTTTTCTACGCTTTTTCATGCATTTCAAAATAGTTGAGAGAAGTCTGCTAATAGTTAGGTTTTAATGATATGAAGTGAATTACGTCTAGTTAAAGTAAAGTAAAGTAAGAATTATTGTTTCAATTATGCATGCATATTTAATTCGTTTAGTTCTTGTGTGGCCCAATTATATAGTTTTTTCTCCATTACCCACAGGAAACTCGCGCGAAATTTTCGACCAATTATTTTGTATCCACCACCAGTAATTTGTAGACAGTTGTATGATTGTAAGTCTCTCCCGGGCGAAGTATGGAATTTGGAAAGTTTTCCTAAAAAGAAAAATTATATATGTGTTACTGTAAACGTTGGGTGACAGTGTATTGTACACACGTAAAAATCTCACAACTTGTCAACAAGATGTGTTCGCAACAGGCATGTAACAAACTTGTCAACAAGTTGTAACAATGCTGTATTTTATCAAGTTGCTACAAGGTTGTCACTCACTACTTGTGGACAAATTGCCGAATTGTAGGACGATAACAATTTGTTGGACAACTTGTAACAAGTCTGTTGAATCAACAACCTTGCAGCAAATTGTCAACAAGCCGTTGATCACTTGTCAACAAGCTGGGAACAAGCAGTGCACATCCTGTTGACAAGTTGTTGGAACAGCATTGCTACAAGTCTGCTGCAGATTTGTTACAACTTGTGCGTTTTTACGTGTGTAGTGCAGTTACCTGAATTTTTTTTTAAACTGAGATTTCGAACGAAGGCCAGGGGGAAATATATCATAGTTCGTACTTACATGATTAATTGCGTCAGGCCAGTTCTGTGTCTCTAGACAAAAGGCGCCATATTTGGGATAAGCAATGCCGTTTTTCCCCACAAGGCCTCCGTCCAAACCATTTGTAGTATACAGTTGAACTCCTGGCTGTGTCGTGTAGATTTCGATACCACGTCCAGAATTCAGCTCCGTTACTCTATGTAAAAGAAATAGCGATTAAGAACACCGCAAATATAGTCCCAGGTTTTAGGATAATTTCTTCGTTCCTGTATAGCTGAATATATGCTGAGCTTTTGAAACTAAACATTTAGCACTGATTTTTCGATACTTATATGTCATGATACTTATATTTCGCATTTAGGTTGGAAAAAACACATTTTGGGCATGACACTAAATCCATTGAAGTCAACTCAGCTTATTTTTCTATCTTCAGTATCGATAGGATGGGTTTTTCAACTTTTTAGATAATTTTTTCAGTTTGAAAATTGTCATCACTCCTCGGTTTGTTTTGGCGCGAAACGCGAGAGGTCTGTAACGTGTAATACGGACCTCTCGTCAACCAATCAGAAGTCTCCATTTACGTTATGGACCTGGGATTACGGATTTACGGACCCGAAAAAAATGTAATTATGTTATTTAGTCGTAATTACCTCGCCAGTAGTTTAGTAATATCACCAGGATTCGTAATGCAGTAGTTATTGTCATAACCATCATTTGGAGTTTGCGTAATATCTCTGCCAAACTCTTTAGCAGTGGTGAAGTCAAATGCTGAGGCATCTTTCACAGAAACTATTTCACCTATGAAGAAAGGTGTTGGTCAAGCACACTGGCTGTATAGAAACGTAGGATAACCTTATTAAGTTATACCTGTAGGTATGCTGTAGTCGTTTAATGGCAAATAACTTTCGGCAGTAATCTCTGCAACATGATTTAGTATAGTTGCATCAGTCTGAAGCAAGAAACAGAGAGTTGTTTAGATTATTGGTTCTCAGTTTAGGCACAGACCAGTCTGCTTCTTAAATGAGCAAACCAGGAAACATTGTGTCCTGGCCATGTTTCCTGATGGTGGGCAAACCAGGAAACAAAAATCACACTTTTGAAACATTCTAACAGTGGGCAAACAGCGTGATTATAAACCTATGAGAAAGCATTGGAATTCACACAGTTTATGTATAGGGACTTTTAAACTACAAATTAACTCTATTTTCAAAATTAAGTTTTCACACTGAATTAACATAGAGGAATGGTGCATCATTTACCAGTCACATTTATTACCTGACCAGCTAAATTGAAGTAAGCATGATTTGTGATGTTAATTATTGTTGCCTTGTCAGTTGTAGCTGTGACATTGAAGTGTATTTCATTGTCATCATTAAGACCATAAGTAGCCTGGATTGTCAAGTTGCCTGGGTAACCTTCCTCACCATCACTGCTTGTACGACTGAACGTCACTGAGTTGCTGTTGATCTGGTAATCCCAAACAAACTGAAAAAAATCACACATGGATTTTCTGTTTTTGGTTATTTTATTAACCTATTAATTATAAGTTGCATTGCACTGCAATGCACCTACTTTAATATTACTTTAATCCGCCTAACACCAGACAATTTTACTAAACGAACGCTGGAGCTCAATGGGTTAATAAACATCTCTGATTAAAGATAAGAGTGTTTCTGAGTGTTTTATCATTTATATGTATTTAGAGAGTTTGTAAAGTACTCATTTTTGCTTGTCTTGAATTTGCATGATTTAATTTTGTATACAGTTTCTAGTTGCATTCCAAAAGGTGAGGGTTGGGATGCAAGGGGGATTTGGAGTGGTGGGGGTTGTGTGGGGGTGGGGTGGGATGGCAGTGCTGGTTGGGGAGGGGGATGCTCACCAACAGAGGCAATTTATTATGTCCTGGTGACATGACTAGGATTTAGATAGTCTTACTAGATTCTTGGTAGAAACATGTAAGAATCACCGTTTTGTACAACCAATCATCGCCATCTTACTTTGTCAAACCCTTTCCAACCACCATGTAAAGAATTTGGTGGATCATTCACTGGCACTTGATAACTAATACCATCGATCTGGAACTTTCCATAGGCAATTCTATTACACACTCTGCCAATTGTTGCACAAAAATATGGGGCGTTGAGACGGTAATAGCCTAAAAATTTATCATTGACAGGTTAATAATTCAATAATTAAATGGAAATACCTAGTATACAGTTTTTCCAAGGGGAAGTAAGTATCCAGTGTGCAGGTTTTCCAGGGAGGGAAACTGTTCAGTATGACAATTTTCCAGAGGGGGTGTGGGGGCAACTGTCCATACAGTTATATAACAACAAATATTAAATCATGGCAATTTCATCAAGTACACAGCATATTAATAGTTTCTAGGGCCTTGATATTTTGCTGGTTACTGCCATTTTCATCTTATAACACTCAGTACCCTGGGTTTGGAGGTTTTCTGGTGTTGGGCAAGTTACCCTTGACTCAGGCAAGGTCTCAGGGGACAAAAGATTAAAATGTAATTGAAAATACCTTCAAAATCATCAAAACCCAAAGTAATGTCGTCAAATTTTCCATTTCTATATGATATATGAAAATATTAACAACATTGGTAGTTTTGGCAAGCCGGGATATTGTGGAAACCATAGGCGTACAAGGGGGGAAGGAGGGGAGGGGGAGAATTTTTGCCAAATAGGGCAAAGTCAGGCAGTTTTTGGTTCACCATAGGGCAAAATAAATTTGGTGATGGGGGGAGGGCTCTACAGGGGGAGAGTGACATTTGAACAGTTCATGGCTCATATACAGTAGGTAGGGTTGCAGAATTTCCAGGATAGGGGTGGGGTATTTCCATGAGTTGGTCGATGCCAACCTTTCTTAGGATACTGATATCCCAAGCAAATCTTCCTGTATTATAGTGCTACCAGCTATGTCAGTAGTGCTGTAGTCTGGAAGAATGAAACTGTTGCAAATTATGTTAATATACACATATTAGCTACATACTTATCTGGGCACTTGATACCAACAATAATAGCGCCATAACTTATCACTTCGAGAGCTAAGCCATTTTTATTTTCAATCACAAATTTATAGACCTCTTGTCCATCGTCCGTCGTGCCAAATAGTTCTTTTGTGATTTGAGATACCATGTTAATATGAAGAATTCACGCAAATTATATTAGTTCGCCTAGAAGATTTTATTGGGAAATAAGCGCAATTCCGACCTGGCAATTCCTTGAATAAATAAATTACGTGGCTTAATGCTTGACGAGATTTTGTCTAAATATTGTGAAACAACTTCTTGTGAAATTAACCATTAACCACTGTGATAAAACAAAATGTCAATGGTAACCTTTCGTTGACCTTCGATAACCGGTAAATTAAAAGAAACGCCAAGATCAAGGGCATAGGAGTTTCCACAATTTTCCTTAAAATTCCGTGTTGTTCCTCTTTGATTTTGGCTGATCGACATTTTCATCATCAACGACTCCATTTTGAATCTCAAAGCATTGTGGTATAGCTAGGGTAAACCACAGAATAAGGGTCCTTGTTATTCTGTGCACAGAACCATAAAAAATTTAAAAGCCGTTTTCATGTATATATAAAGACTTCGAGCGGTAAATTTATTGATATGAACACTTTCGTGATAATAAAGACGAAGTCAAGATAAATTTCATATACATCACTTTGTGGGTTTTGTATGTGTAGCTCTGAAGAAGTCTCAATTTATTAGCCAAGTTATAAATAGCTTTTGCCTCTTGTAGTTGTAGTGGAGAGAAAATTAGGGCGCTTTCCATTTAATCAACGGAAAGATCTAGTCTATGTTTCTCAAATATCTAGCGAAAATGGACCTCATTCTAATTTTATCTAAATTTTCCGGTCAGAAACGTTTTGTGTTCCATTCAATAATTTGACCGGTCTGGCCGAGTTAATAGAAAAAACCTGTAGTCTGCTTATCCCTAACGTTACCATCTGGTGCCCTGTAATGACCTTGTAATCGCCTACAGAATCCACTAAATTAATTTTCGATAATTTGCAACCAAAATTCATCAAACACGATAGTATCATATTCCTTATCCGCTATAATACCTGTAAGACTGTATATTTGATTATTTGAATGCCTCTTTAGTTTTATGCAAATCACCAAATTGAAAAATACTTTTCGCCTTTCATGTCTTGTGTTACCAACGCAACACCATAATCCAAGTAAACAATTGACATGGCGATTAAATACTTTGTAATGGGGTTGTCAAATTACACTCGGTTTATTGGTCGGTTCTGACATTTAGTATATAATATATGAAATATGCGGAATATCAAATTTATGTAAGTATTTTGTTTGGTGAGCAATATATAAACATGGTTTCTATATGCCTATGAGGCGAAGTATAGTTTGTAGAATTCAGTCACTGGTGTTAAATAGCATTGCATTGAATGGCAAAGTATCGCATCTGAATTTATTGGTTTGGATTCTATAGTATACCATTACTCCATTAGTCATATTACCATTGTTTATAATACGTGTGCGAGATATATGGCGACTGCCTCAGAAACAAGCGGAGCAGATGGCAGTATCGACAACTCGAGAGACCAAACGACTCAAGATTTTTTAACCGGATTAAAAGAACGAGAAGATCTTAAACAACAGTTGACCGAACGGGAAAAAGAATTGGTGGCAACGAAATCGCAAAATTATGACTTGATTAAGAAAATTGAAGCACTGGAGACAGAGGTAATATGATCTCCTCCCCTCCCGTCCCTAAACCCGTAGCGTGTTATGGAGAGGGGGGGGGGGGCAAAGTTTGTTAATTTAAATTAATTAGTGGCTCATGGACCTTGTTAGTCTGTGATGCAGGTCATAGCCTATGAAGATATGTGGAAACTGAACAGAAATCATTTTGTTATATTTTTGTCTGAGTTTATGTTGAACAAGCCCAACCGTGCGATGTCGTCCAATCATGAGTCTTAGAAACCTTGTCCTTTTCTTAACTTGTGTGCTAGACATACCTTAATCTTCAACTTGATGGTGAAAACCAGACCAGGGCGCTTATATATATAATTATATAAGCGCCCTGGGCCAGACTCTTTACCTGCGCTCCTCCTGACGTATTAAAGAGCCTTGCGAGGTTGATCTATACTGTATAGACTATAGTACAGTAATATTTCGTGACGCATGCAATTCAGCAATTAATCTTTCTTTATATCCTTCAGCTTTCCGAGGCAAAGCAAAGCAACGCACATAGGGTAAGTTCAGCGATATAATTGCTGTATTTGAATATAGTAACATACACTGTCGTAACGTGTCGTTACGTCTAGATGAACTATTTCTGGTAATTGCATGCATGGACACATAATCCTGGAGCGCTGATTACTATTATCAAGCAATGGATAATATGCTTTTATTCTCTTCACTCGTGCAGAAAAAATCCTCAACAAGCAAGAGACCAACCAGTCCAAAGAAGACGGCAACAAAACCTTTGCGACCAGCTAAAAGAAAGTCACCCAAGAAATCACAAGATTTACTGTCGCCAAAAGATGCTGAAAAATCACGTGATGACCCCTTCGATGATCCAGAACAATTATACAAGGCAAGTGGATATT